CCGGCGGGGGGGGGGCCCCGGGTGGCATTGCCCCCCCCCGGCGGGGAGCCGCTGCGGAGCCCGGGGCAGCTCTGGGACGGGGCTGCTCACCTATCGGGTCCTCCCTCTTGCTCCTCCAGCAGCTCTTCCCCGCGGAGGTCTCCTGCCCCCAGAAAGCCAGCCCCGGGTTAGTGCCGGGGGTCTCCCCCCAGCCAGGAGGGCCCCTGCCCAGGGAACAAGGACCCTGGCAAGGGCCACTGGAGTTACAGGGACAGGAGGGGCCCCGAGCCCGGTGCGCGAGCGGAGGTGGCTCGGTGGCTGCGGAGCAGGGACCTGGCTGGGCGGGCACTGGCCACTGTTCAGTGGTGCCTCCCAAAATGGGGCCCCTCCCCAGCGCCCCGGGGATGGGCTCTGCCCCGGGTCACCCCTGCCCAGGGAGTGTTTGGGGCGATGCCGAGACGGACCCCCACCTTGGCCTCGCCCTTGGGACACCAGGTCATGAAGATGCCCAGCCCCAGGATGGTCACCAAGGCGGGGACGCAGGGCAGCAGGAGCGTGCAGAGGCCCCAAAGGCTCAGGCTTGAGATGAAGAGCAGCGCCGTCAGCTTCCACTCCTCCATCTCGCCCAGGGAGCGCCAGCATCTCCAGAGCTTCTGCGTGACGAGGGGACGTGCAGTGGGGAGGCCGAGAAACCCGGCGAGATCCCCTGAGGGGAGGAGAGGTTGGGGTGACACCGCAGCACCCCGCTCCTACCTTCTTGCTTGCTTTTTTTGCCATCTCTGATGTGCTTTCCACACGCTTGCCCAGCTGCTCTCTTGCCCGCTGGCTCGCGCGCTGTCGAAGTGACGCACGGGCCTCCCCGAAACCTGCTAACATACGGCCACGTTTGTGATGCAACGGTGACGACACGTCGACACACAATGGCTGCCACAGCGACCCAGGGCTGAGCTGGTGCGGGAGACTGTGAAGCCATCAGGGAGCAGCCGCCCCAGAGAGCCCGTGACGGGGTCTGGGGGGCAGCGCACCCCAGGCCATAGCCCAGGGCCTGCGGGGGAGCGGGCAGGGAAGGTCCCTCCGGGCCGCCCGCCTCCAGCCCTCGGCCGGGATGGGCCGCCGCGATGGCTACGTCGTCTTAACCAACCTTCTTGGGCCCCTCTTCCCTCCAGGGCTCTCCCTGCCCCGGGAGAAAGGCCTGGGCCCAGCCTGCAGCCTGCGGTCTGTGCCGCGGCCTCTCCGGAGCTGCAGCCGCTGCTCTGGGGCGCGGGGGCG